CGTATGAGAAGATCAAGGAGTATGAAATCGCCCGATGGGCAATGTGCAAAATCTGGAAAATTGAGCAGATGATGAGTCGCACGGGCAAGAAGGTGTACTTTAGCGGCTGGCCAGCTCACCCTTTTCTTTTGTCTGTATGTGACTTGGCTGCTCATCGCAGACAAAAGAAATCGGGTGAAGTGGTGGGCTGCTAAAATGCAGGAAACTGCAAATTGATCACGGTCAAGTGATATTCGATTGCTCAACCTTTGGCGGCAGCGATGCGTTTCCTGTTTGGTTTGCGAAAACGTGGGAGGTACTTTGAAACAGAACAACCACAATCGGGATCATCGCATCGCACTACATCGTGATTACTGCATGTGACCATACTCGGATGGAGATCCTATCACAAGCTTCTCTTTTGGATGTGGTGGTATTCTCACATTGACTTTGCAGACATCTGGCAATTGCCTTGTCGACTGTGTGACCTTACCAGTTTTGTCTGGGTCGGGCAAGTTGCAGGACATGTTGCTACTGCATGAAAACATGGTTGTACGCCTGGCGGATGTGTTGGCTCCACATCTTGGACTGGTCAAGGATAAGTTGGCTGTGGTCGTGAAGGTGGATTTGCATCATGCTGATCAGCGTTGCTTGGCCAACCTAGAGCCGGGCTTTCGCCAGTTCTTTCCAGAGTTCATGGCGAAAGGTATCTGGGTCAAGTTGCTGAAAGGACAGAATTCGCCCATGGAAGAAGCATTGCTGCAGAAGTGGGAAGAAGAATTTGCCAATTTGACGGAGCACGCAGCAGATGCCAAAACTTTGTTCTTCGTGGAACTGGTTCATGCTGACTTCAAAATTGATCTGAAGATTGGAGATGAAACCGAGAAAATCGAAGTGATTCGCTGGCAATTTCCTCTTTTGCATGGCATGTTGCGCACTGCTTACAGTGCACAAGGCTTGACTCTGGATTGAGGAGTGGTGCTGGACTTATGTTGCGCGGGCGGGTTGGAGGATTCTGACTGGTGGCTTGCCATTTACGTCATGCTGACACGTGGTAGGAAAATTGAGAATCTGATCTTGTTGGGGTTTACGGACCAAGTAGAAGAGCTTCTGCGCAGGGGTCCTCCTCCGTATCTGCGACAACTTACTGACAAATTGGAAGCCAAAGCTGCTTTGACCTTTGAACGCCTCCGGTCGTGGCCTGCCTATGATGGACAGTAATCCTGCGCTTGTTGTGACCTTACTGGTTTTGTCCAGGTCGGTCTAATGCAGCATGCTGTGATAGCGGTGAATGCGAACCAGATGGTGGTTGCGAAAAGGTAGGTGCATCTCTCTCATGCTGAGCAGTTGCAGAGAATGTAGTGTAAGGATTTGTTGCGCAGTTGGATATCAGGTCTCTCCTTGCTTTTCTTTTTGTCTTTTGCAGGGGGTGTGTATGCCAAGACGGTTTTACTTTGGTTTGGCTCTGCAGCTACTGATCAACCTTGCTTTTGTGCTCGATGAATTGTGCATCTCATCTTCTCATGAGCTTGAGTTAGCTATGTGTATCAGATGCTTTGAACATATTGCGCTATCGTCTATCAACCGCTCGGGAGAGTTCCAAAAGGATCTTCAAACATACTTAGACTTTCATCCCACTTACTAGTAGCTTCGGCACCTACAATATCCCTTTCTTTCTCTCCATCAATTAATTAATTTGGAAAGGGGTGATGAAAATATGAGGTGAGGAGGGCAGAGGTAAGGGTCCGTGAGTGGAGGCACCGTCGCTGTGGAGAAGAAACTTCTGTCAGTATAAGATGTGAAATTAGGAAACTTTGGAAAGGGGTGATGAAAATATGAAAATACGAGCGTAAGGATCCCTGAAAGTCTGAGGGCAAAAAGTTTGCGGGTGAAAAGTCTGTGGGTGAAAAACCAGTGGAAGAAGAGTCCCTTGGTGAAAAATATGGGTGCAACGTGTATGTGTAAAAAATCTGTGGGTGAAAAATGTGACAAGGCTGTGCGTAAAAAAGTCTCATGGTGAAGAGTCTCTGGGCGAAAAGTGTGTGGGTGAAAAGTGCGCGGGTGAAAAGTCCGTCGATCAAAAGTCTATGGGTGAAACGGGTGTGGGTGCAAAATCTGAGGGTGCAAAGTCTGTGGTTGAAAAGTCTGTGGGTGAAAAGTATATGGGGGAAAAAATGAGGGTAAAAAGTACATTGGCGAAGAGCCTCTGAGTGAAAAGTGTGTGGGTGAAAAACCCGTGGGTCAAAAATATACAGGTGAAACGTGTATGGGTGAAAAGCCGGAGGGTGCGAAGTCTGTGGGTGAAAAGAGCGCGGGTGAAAAAAATGTGGGCAAAAACGGTATTGGTGAAAGCCCCTGGGTGAAAAGTATATGGGTGAAAACTCGAAAAACATATATTATATATGTGAAAGTCTGAGGGCGCAAAGTCTGTGGGTGAAAAGTCTGTGTGCGAAAAATGTATGGGTGAAAGCCTTTAGGTGAAAAGTATATGGTTGAACAGCCTTGGTTGAAAAGTATACGGGTGAAAAGTCTGTGGGTGAAAAGTCTGTGGGTGAAAAGTCTGTGGGTGAAAAGCCTGTGGGTGAAAAGTCTCTGGGTGAAAAGTCTGTGCAAGAATAATCTCTGGGTGAAAAGTCTCTGGGTGAAAAGTATGTGGGTGGAAAGTATATGGGGGAAAAGTCTGTGGGCGAGAAGTGTATGGTTGAACCGTCTGTGGGTGAAAAGTATGGGTGAGAAGCATGGGTGAAAGACTCCGGGTGAAAAGCCTGTGGGTGAAAAATCTTTTGGGGAAAATAGGGGTAGGTGGGATGCTGGCTTTCGCTTCCCCCTTCTCAGGTTGGTGAAGGATTGAGAATCCACAGCTTCCGCTTCAGGCATCTTGTCCTGGCAATCGCCCTGCGGCAGAAGCTCCATGGGCATCGGCAAAGTTTCGAGGTTGTCCGGGCCTGGGCGCGGCAAGGTTTTATCATATTTTGAAACATGATTGATCAAGTTAAGGGGGTGCCTGAAAAAGTCTAGGAACAAATGGCTGGCGCTTTAGCAATTGGTTTTTCCACACATGGGATAGGTGTCTTTGATGTCAAGGGTGATGCAGGAGGGCGCACCACAGCTTCTGACTCCTTGCGGGACTTTTCCATGGCATAGAAAGTTTGGATTTGCTCCTGCTCTTCATCAAAAGCGTGGCATTGTAGATCTAGTTGTTGAAGTGACTCCTCCACACTTGCTGGGGAGCAAGCAGGCCTGTGACTCATGTCATTGTGCGCTGGTCATTGTTTTTGCAGTTTTGCGGTTTTGTAGTTTTTCATAGCTTTTCTATTTCAGACGTTCCTCATGAAAGTGTCCACCAACTTCATTTGCTGAAGATCTTGGAGAAGCTTCTGGAATTGGAATTCCTGCAATACCCATAAGGTTCCTCATGGCTGGTTCACGGGGTCTATGACCTCTCCTCTCCTACTTGCTCGGCCAAAGATGTAGACCAACTTTCGTATGATCCCGGCTTCAGCTCGAATGACCTTGAAGGCTTATCATGTGGGGTTATCCGGTCCTTATAATTCTTGCTTGTATGCTGCGTAGCTTCAAATCGGCTTTTGCACGCTTTTGCTTGTCGTCCTGTCGCATCTGGGTGCAGGGCAAAATAATAGGCGCTGTCAGTCCTTGCCTTGGCCATTGCTTCTGTGACAGCGCAGACGCAGGGCGAAATCGAAGCTGAGCTTGCCGCCATCAAGAGAGAACAAGCGGTTGAGGCCCAATGCAGGCAGTGGAGAGGGCTGTGAAAACTGTAGTCCGCAACATAGGATTTGCCAGCTTTCCTCAGTGGAAGGGGTCATTTTGGAGGCTCCTGCCCAATTACATCCCTCATCCTCTGAGGCTCGGAAACGGCTAACTTTCCAACACCAAAGATACCAAAGCGTTCAATTTGCAATCAAAGCTGGGGCAAATTCCTTTCCACCTTGCAGGGCCGCAATTGTGGAAGTGCGGGGGCTAAGGCTATCTTGCATCTTAACAAGATCACTTTCTGACTGGTCCTAGATCAACTGGTAAAAGGCGACCCCAGTATTCAGAATAAGCAAGTGTTTGACGGTGCTTGAGCAATTTTCAGGCGTGGTAAAACGGCAAGTTATTTTGTTTGTAATGTCTCCCGACTCCCATTAAAATTTCTGGCTGACACCCTAGCCACCTCGCGGCAATGAGCACATGACATGTGAAAACCAAACGAAGTTTGTGCGAACACCACCTTTACAGAGGAGGTGATGCAATTGCTGGAAAAATAGGTACACTATGTAAAGCTTGCACACTTGTAAATACACTACTCTACATACATGTGTATGTATATATATATATACATATGTGCAGGTAGTCATTTAGATACATATTTGTGGCTATTTATTTGCGCATATCCAGCAACAACAACAGCAGCAACAACAACAACAGCAACAACAACCATAACAACAATAAACACAATAACAACAACGATCACAACAACAAACATCACAACAACAAACATCACATCAACAACCATCACAGCAACAACCATCGCAAAAACAAACATCACAACAACAAACATCGCAACAACAAACACAACAAAGAAACAACAACAACAAACATTACAACAACAAACAGCACAACAACAAACATAACAGCAACAAACGTAACAACAACAAAATAGAAGGTTCCAGCTCCCAAATTCTATGAATAGCACGCGAACTGAGAGGTTCCTGCGCCCAAATGCGGCAAATAGCATGCAGCATGGAAGGGAAGTGGCAGGATAGATGTAGGGGACGGAAAACAGAACAGATCAGGAAAAAAAATCCCCAGGGCAGGGGGAAAAAATTCCCCGGCGAGATCCGGCACCTCCCATGCAGATATACACAGAGAGAGCGAGAGAACGACACACTGCAGACCGCAGAGTTGTACACACTGTGTACATATCTCCAAAGTCTCTTAAACACAGAATGATGCATATTGCCGCGTGGTGACGTAGTGCTTTCCCTTTCCAGATCTTTTTATGGATTGGTTCTGAGGAGCGGATTGCCTAGCAATGTTTTCGCCTACGAGACTGACATGAGCCCGGACCAGCGTCGCGAAGCAATCGAATTGTGGCTCACGCTTGTTCGAGAGGCTGCGAACGTGACCGAACGTGACCGAACGTGACCGAACGTGACCATGCATGACGTATGTGACGTTGTCGCTATTTGTTGCCTCAATTGATTCATGAGTGACTCATGCTGCCTTGAAAGGGTTTTGAAATCCCTTGGCGCAACATCTGCAATCTTTGTTGTACCACCATGTTTCCTGGCCTTCTACCGAGCAGTTGACTGTTGGAGTTCTCGAGTTTTAATGTTTTCAACTATTCTTTCATATTTTTTCATATTTTTTCTCTACTTTTGTCCATGATGTGTTCACCTTCCTGCAGGTCTCTCAACTTTGTACCGACTTGCAGGCCTTTCTCTCCAGTCTTGTTTTCAGTCTTGTATAGGATGGCCTGTTCGCCTGTTCGACTGTGGGCTCTTGCCACTATTTGCCACTATTTGCCACTATTTGCCACTATTTGCTAGTTTTTTGTTCTCACTCTTCGCGGTGTGTAACGACGTTATTTGTGCCAAATGCTTGTCCGTCGGTATCATATTGCAAAGTACTTGATCAATTTGACAAGACGCGACAAGACTTCAAGCATCTTTCCGAATCTTCCCTTTAAGAGTTGCCTTGCTCCCAGAATGTGCGCCTCAGATATTGATTCCATGTTGCCAGGACAAAAGGCACTGCACTTTGACTTTTGTTTTACAGTGAACTTTACAGTAAGCACTTTGAATTTTCAGTTTCAAGCTTTACAGTCTGTTTCGGACTCCGTTTCTTCGCTTTAAATTCGGGTGTTTGGACTGTCACATACGGTCACTCACCTCACCTCAGGTTCCCCGTGTGTCATTTGATATCAAGCTGTCATTGTTTCCATGTTCAATACATAATAATTCGAGCCCGCCCCTCCGTGCCTCTAATGCCTCCGCTGTGAAACCTACTGTTCCACATTGCTTCATGTGTTTTGTTTTGCCCTCCGGGTTTCTATCTACATACTACTTTCCACTCCGTTTGGTTGGGTACCGGTCATGTCACGTCTTCACTGATAGGGAAAGAGTACGAAGCATGCTTAGAACTTAGCACAATATGTTTTTGGCAAAAGAAACATGTTTTCTATGCCAAGCACTAACTTCGGCAACTGTCTTGTGTTTTTCTTTCTCTGTGTGATCTTTGTCAAGATATCGCTGTCCTCACTGGAAACAGCACATAGTTTTGTTGGACACGGGGAATGCTGGTGTCAGGCAGTTGGCTTCGCCATGGGCGCGCAGCAACTTGATGCACTAGGGGCTAGTCAGACCTGGATAGACCTGCGACTTCAGTGGGTGGAATTGAAATGAAGAAGGGCTGTACATACCGAATTGGTATCAAATTGGTACACTGGAGATCACTGAAGGTGGTGTAGGCACGAAGCTTCATGATTACAAAATGTTACAAATGGGCTCAGCTTCTTTGAAGCAGCAACTGTTGGGGCCTTGTATGCCTTTGCCGTGTTCTTGCATATAATGATTATGTATGATATTCCAGTAGTCCCGCACAAGGCGGTGGCGGAAGTTTCAAAAATAAGAAACCTATAGGAGAGGTTGGTTGTTGTGAATCAGGGATGGCAAAGCGAATCCACTGATGGATCGAAAGGTGATTGATGTCTCCTCTCTTTCTCTCTCTTTCTCTGACTATCTACCTCCCTACCTATCTATCTTCTATGTATCTATCTATCTATTTATCGATCTATCTATCTATCTATCTCTCTCTCTCTCTCTTTCATCTGTCTATCTGTCTAGCTGTCTACCTGTCTATCTGTCTATCTGTCTATCTATCTATCCCTCTCTCTCTCTCTCTCGCTTTCATGTGTCTATCTGTCTATCTGTCTAGCTGTCTACTTGTCTATCTGTCTATCTATCTATCTATCTATCTATCTGTCTATCTGTCTATCTGTCTATCTGTCTACCTGTCTATCTGTGGTCCAGTGTCATTGAGTGTAATGTAGTGTAGTGTAATGTAGTGTAGTGTAGTGTAATTTAGTGTAGTGGAGTGTAGTGGAAGGTAGTGTAGTGTAATGTAGTGTAGTGGAGTGTAGTGTAGTGGAATGTAGTGTAGTGGAGCGTAGTGGAGTGTAGTGGAGTGTAGTGGAGTGTAGTTGTGTAGTTGTGTAGTTGTAGTTGTAGTTGTAGTGTAGTGTAGTGTAGAGTAATGTAGTGAAGTGTAGTGGAAGGTAGTGCAGTCTAGTGTAATGTAGTGTAGTGGAGTGTAGTGTGAGTGTAGTGTAATGTAGTGTAGTGTAGTGTAATTTAGTGTAGTGGAGTGTAGTTGAGTGTAGTTGTGTAGTTGTGTAGTTGTGTAGTTGTGTAGTTGTGTAGTTGTGTAGTTGTAGTTGTAGTGTAGTGTAGTGGAAGGTAGTGTAGTGTAGTGTAATGTAGTGTAGTGTAGTGAAGCGAAGCGAAGGGACATCTGAACCTCCAAAAGTGGCGCGAACATGTGGAGTTTTGTACATTTTGACTTGGAAATGTGCTTCGCGCCACAACGGCGTGCACTTTTTCAACATCCGAACCTCCAAAAGTGGCGCGAACATGTGGTGTTTTGTACATTTTGACTTCGAAATGTGCTTCGCGCCACGACGGCGTGCACTTTTTCGACATCTCAACTGCCAAAAGTGCTCCGGAGCTGGTGTGTTTTGTACATTTTGACTTCAAAATGTGCTTTGCGCCACAACGGCGTGCACTTTTTCGACATCTCAACTTCCAAAAGTGGTCCGAGCCTGGTGTGTTTTGTACATTTGCCACAACAGCGTGCACTTTTTCGACATCTCAACTTCCAAAAGTGGTCCGACAATGGTGTGTTTTGTACATTTTGACTTCAAAATGTGCTTCGCGCCACAACGGCGTGCACTTTTTCGACATCGCAACTTCCAAAAGTGGTCCGACAATGGTGTGTTTTGTACATTTTGACTTCGAAATGTGCTTCGCGCCACAGCGGCGTGCAACTTTTCATCTCTCATCTGGCCAGCTGGCTCCGCACCCGCCGCTTTAGCGAGCCTACTTTTCGACCCTCCGGAGCCCCAATCATTGGAAAAACACAGTGTTTCGCGACTTTCCTACCTTTTCGCGCATCTGCATCTTCTTTCTTCTTACTCTTCTTTCTTCTAATCTTTCTCTTCTCTCTGCCTCTTCCCTGCTCTGCTTTTCATCTGTCCATATTGTCGGAAGTTTGACTTCTAAATTTCCTTCGGATATGATTATATAATAAATTATATATGACTGGATTATATTACATAAAATTTACATAATCTCTTCCAGACAGATTCTGGTCTACTTGGGTTCCATTTGCGGGTTCACAGAAAACTTCCGAAGGCAGCGCCATTTGAATCCAATTTGCATCCAATTTGCATCTATTTGCTATTTGTATGATTTTGTATGATTTTGTATGTGCGCATCTCGCCAAGGATGATGGACCACGCCTATACTCTCTCGTGTTTGGGTGGAGAGTTACTGATTGCCAAGCAGACTTCCAAGGAGCCGGATTGAAGACCTGCAGACATAAAACTCATGAAACCTATTAAACAGCACAAGGGGAGACCAGCGTGTGTATGCGTTACATGGATTTACATGGACCGAGGCATGTCCAGCTTAAAGTCAGTCAAGACCGATGAACAACGTCCACAGTTCATCGCAGTTCGATTCGTTTCACTTTTTCACTTTTTCACTTTCGTTTTGTTTTGTAATTCGTTTCATTTTTGTTCATCGTTTCGTCCGTCATCGTGTGTCGGGCAAGGACCTGGCACTGAGCACTCTGAAGTTCGTGCGGAATCGCCTGGCTGAGGCACGCGACGCACGAGTCAATACGATGAAACGATCGTGAAACGAACATGTAAGGACTGTAAGGACTGTAAGGATATCGATGAACACAAAGTATGGTCAAGTATGCATATGTACAACTCTTTACACATACATGCATGCACACAACACACATGCGCATACATATACGCACATAGGCCAGACTTCAAGTGAATGTCAGTGCACCCCACCCTGCGGCAACCCAATGTCACATCGTCGCATCAGTTTACTTTAGTTTCCATTACATTACATACCGTAACGTCCCATGCGAAACCATACCATACCAAATTATACCAACCACACACACACATCACATATCATTAGTTGCGTGCATAAATTTGCATAAATGTATGAATGCATGCGTACATTACTCGGTGTTACATAAATTACTCAGCGTTACATACATTGCAGACATTGCGTTACACACACACACACATTCTACACTACATTATTTAGATACATACCACACATACACTACACACCAGACATACTTTGCATACCAAACATACACTGCATACCAAACACACATTACGTATCATTACGTACCATACACACAGGACATTACAATACAAATATATTGGACACACGCACACAAACTACACGCCTGACACAAACTAATGCATCAGATATAATATATTACTTGCGTGACATGACATGACATGACATGGCATGACATGACATGACATGACATGACATGACATCAGTTGAAATACCATGACATGACGTACATTACGCACATGTATGCAACACATACCATAGGCACGTTACATACCGCCTTAGATACAGTATACCATTGGCTGACACATTGCATACCATGCATAGACTAAACAACTATATGTTCATGACATGCATTATGTAACTAGGCTACATGGCAGAAATACATTGCATACATTTGTGACATTTGTGCGTTCATGACGTACATGCATTCATACAATCCGCACATGATAAATACAGGCAGGCATTGCACAAACTCACGCATCAATTTTCACTATGTACATTATATAAATAGATACATGGCACACACACAGATTACATACATTGCATGCAGTACCTACACTACCTGCATTGCATAAATTACATCCATTCCAAACATTGCATGCCTGACATGCACCATACACAACACACCTTACATACCTTACATACCTTACATGCCTCACGTACTTTGCGTACGTACATAGTCTCATCGGATTGGGATGTATAACATCGTATTGCATTTCATTGCGCTACATGCATGAACACACACACACAGACACACACACACACACGCGCGCGCATATGCACCCAAACATGTTTTTTATTTGTTTTTTCATTTCACCCCCTACCAAAGAACAATGCCGCCTAGCTTATCATATGTTGCCACTGCTTCCTGCCGCTTGCATTTGCTAATCATATGCTCATAGGGATGCACGTGAGCCCATACAAATGCGTTTTTACAGTACATGGATTAGGCACAAACACATTTCAATACAGATGCAGTGAGAGACATATGCAAGGCATGTGTGATATATGTATATATAATGCAGGTACACAAATACACACATTCACAGTATGTTTGTTCTTCTTGTTGCGCTATCATGTTGGACCCATCATATTTCCACTCTTTTGTTTGTGCCGACTTACACTGCTGAATGTGCATATATGTGCGCACATTCCCATTGACCTCACAAAACATGCTGATTTTTTGCATTGCATTATTTTTTAAACGCGTTGATAGACACTTGCATTTTCATCATCGTATCATTCTACATTGTTCCGTCTCCTCAACAGGTTCAAGCGACTATGCTGAGTCTCGACCGGATAATGCTGCCAGTGCTGGCAAAGGGCAAGATGAAAAATTCAGAGCCAGAGTTGCAAATTTGGGGGAAGCATGGCGAGTGAGTGAATGCTGTTTGCAGTTGAGGAACGAAGATACTAGAAAATGGCGAGTAAAAAAAACATCACTAGGCATGGAATCGCAAGATCCAAGCCAGTAACAATCAGTAAGCAGAGTAAACAGAGTAAGCAGAGACTCATGTTTTTTTGAGTGGAATGCGCTGGTCCTTTGAGGAGAACTACATTTGGAACAACGTGGCATTTTCCAACTGGGCCCGGAATTACGAATACGCTAAGACCCACTGCGCACCTGGGATGCTCAGCTGATGTGGCGTGATCGTAGGAGACCGTAGGAGACCGTAGGAGACCGTAGGAGACCGTAGGAGCAGCCACAGCAGACCAAGACTTCTAGCAGACAGGTGGGTCTCAGGTCTTAGCGAGGGACCAACTTGGGACCAACTTGGGACCAACTTGGGACCAACTTGGGACAGGACCCTCAGGACTCACTCGAAGCGGAATCCTTAGTTTCAGCAGACGTCTGAACCAGTGCATTCCAAGAAAATAGATGAATAGATCGGCTGAACGGATGGATTAGATGGATTAGATGGATTAGATGGATAAAAAGGTGATAAAAGGTGATAGAAAGGTGATAGGGAGGAGATAGGTGATGGCAATAGATGTGTGATAGGTTCTGATAGGTCCAAGCATGCCAAGCCAGCAGGCCAGCTACTGTCTTCCAAGCGTTCAACATCGTTCAAAATCGCCCCAGGATACTGTCACACGCCCATGAAGCCCGTGCCACCATCGTCGAGTTGGAGTCGGAAATTCAGGAGATTTTTCGGACATTTTGGGACACGATGGACACCGTATCACCATGTATCACACCGTATCACCAGCAGCTCAGATTCTTTCAGATTTGAGAATGTGGATTTACTAGAACAGATTAGAAAAGACTTAAGTGCAGAGAACATTGTTGCATATTTAGCATTATTTAGCTCAATATGTCTCACTGTATGAGTTGTTTATTACATAATTTCGCTGCCTTTTGTTTTTACACTCAGAATACATATTTTGCGACTTATTTTGTGCCATATTTTGGGACCGTATTTGAAAGCGAAAGCAGCGAAAGCCTCAACCTGTCCACCTTATTTTCCTTTCCAGCTTTCCAGCTTTCCAGCTCGCGTTTGCACGTGCAACCTGTGCAACCTGTGCAACCTGTGCAACCTGGAGGATTTGGATGTGGCACATGTGGAAAAGACCCCTGCCTTGACAGATCTGCAGCCTGCCGTTCAGCTCACTCTCCATACTCAGTTAATACTCAGCCTATTTCTAAATATTGCACTTGAGAATGATGAAAGCTATGGGTCCCGGAAACTTTTGAGCCTTAAATTTATGATTGTCCTGGTTTCAAGTTTCGCGATGTGCATCCCATACCTCTAGGAGTTGCAAAGCACTACCAATCTATTGAAGACAGTGGCGCCGTACAAAGAAAAACAAACATGACGTGTCGAGGAATGGTTGGAGGAGTAAAACAGATCTTCAAGACAAGGAACAGAGACAAGAAAGACATAGAAAGACATAGAAAGACATAGAAAGCACATAGAAAGCACATAGAAAGACATAGAAAGACATAAAACAAATTCAAAGAAGAAAGACATAGAAAATCATAGAAATCTTCAGGTCTCTTTCGCCCAGGAAGATTGGAGATGTGGGGAAGTCTCTCATCTCCTTGTGCAAAAGTTCTTGCAAACTCTTCAACGAGCACGACGCATTGCCGGCAGCGCAGTTGCAGAATTCTGTTTCGGTGGCTTTCCCCACAGTCAAGACGACATACTATGAGATATTATGAGATAGTACTAAACTATACTAAACTTGCAAATGCTATTTTTCATATATATTTGCCCCTCTTCACCCTTTTCTTTTGAGTTCATGTCGCATTGACGGCTGAAAAGCTCAACACGTTTCAACGTCGAAATAACTTTTCTTTCATCAGTGTCTCCTCGGGTAAGCAAGGTTCCTTGGAAGGTTCCTTGGAAGGTTCCCTCGTGACATGGAGGGAATGAGCGCAGCTTCAGTGCAGCTTCCAGTTCCATATGTCTTGTAGGCGTGTCGCATAGACATGCCATGACATGCCTCATAGGCCCGTAAGCATGTCCGGTCTTTTGGATCAGGTTTGCTTGATTTGCTTGGGTTTGCTTGGGTTTGCTTGGGTTTGCTAGTTGGCTAGTTCCTCGGCTAGTAGTTGCGGCTACTTGTTGTCCTCGGAAACTCAAAACCATGGTCTCGCCAAAGGTTGTCAGATGTGTCTGTCGATAAAATGCGCCTATCACACTTTGAAGGGTTGCATGAATTTGCATGACAGGTGTTTCGAAAGAGCGAAAAACAATTGGTAGGTCGAAAAAACATATTGGGCGACATAGGCAGTCACCCAGAAGCTGCCGCATTCTTTTTGCTGAACGACACCCTCACCAGTGACAAGTCTTTCCTGGCACAGGTGAGCGAATTTAGTCTTCGTCATGTCTTTGTCATGTCTTCTTTCATGTCTTCTCTCATGAAATTCGCTTACCGGAGGTTCATCGGGTGATTCGCCCTCTGAATTCTGTGGTTAACTAGTTGTTGGATGTTGTTGGACTGTGGAATGTGATCCCGGATGGTGCGGGAAAATACCAGGTTGTGTCGGTTGTGGTTACTGGGCTTCTCAGGAACCTGAAGTATCCTGAAGTTATCCTTGGTGGTGTCACCGCTGTGAACGGTGTGAACGGTGTGAACTCCTGATCAATATTACTGTTGTTTTTAGATGTTTTTAGAGTCTGATGTTATCTTTAGAATATCTTCAGAACATCTCTGTGCCTTTCTTGTTGTGCTTCTGGATTCATGTCCTGAGGCAATGGATGAACCACTTCTTCCCAACATGCAGCTTCTGCCTGATGTGCCTGATAGCCTCAAAAGCATCGAGAAGCAGCTGCAATCAGAGAAGAAATGCATTGAATCTGGAATCTTGGTCTTAATTGGTCTTATTCCCCACTTGCCAGGTGAGGGTCTCCAGATTTCAACAAAGATGCAACTCCGCCTCTTCCACCTTGTCACTGCGGGCACGAACCTTGATATCACAGCGGCAGTAGAGCAGTCTCGCTCCGCTCATGGCTCTACGGCACTGCACACACGGACCCGAAGCCTATAGGTACTATAGGCCCTATCGAGCTCCAGATCAGGCTTGACACACGGACCTGAACATAGGCCAGAAAGGATGTCAGAATACCTGCCAGAAAGAACGCCAGATAGAATGCCAAAATAGATGCCAAATAGAATTCCAAATAGAATGTGAAAGTAAATGCCAGATAGAATGTCAGAAAGAATCTCAGAATATATGTGCCATATAGTTCCAGATGACATGTCACGAAAGCTAGCGGTAGCTAGCTGAGTTACTCTTGCTTCAGCAAGGGGAGGGGCAGGTCTGAGTCCAACACCGTGATTTTTCACTTGAAACCCCCCCAAAGCTCCCGGGGCATTTTGAAGCAGTCTCGGAAGCAGATGGTCACGGGCTCAAATCCTGCCAGGGCCGTACCTTTGCAACTCTCTAGCTCAGGATTTGTTGAGTTTATGTGCTGTCCAGTTGATGCCCGTACATTGGCCTCCGTACGTTCTTTCTGACTCAGGTCAACACTGTGTTGGGGGGCAAAAATTATAATTTTGGATGGGGCCTAAACTTTGTCCCGTACAAAGAGCTTCTAACAGTTTGGCAGTGGGCCCAATAGAATTCTTTGTAGCTCGGGTCACCAGTGGACGATTTCGGACCCATCAAACACACTTCTGGATAGGGACCCAACTTCTTCCAGAACCCATATTCTTTGCTCCGCATGTTCTACGAATGCAACCTAAACTTTACACCTCTTCTTTGCGACCATCTTGACTCCTTCCCTCTGGATCCGTGTCGTCTACCCTTCCCTGCATGTTTCCAACTTTAACTCACCTGTTTCCACCTTCATATGACCTTTAGCTTTCGTTCACCCCCCCTGGGCCTCAAGTCAGACACTATGTCAAAATATTTTATCTGGGCGGGGATCAGTCGAATTAAAGCAAATTCGTTTTTTGTTATTTATTTCATATCGGTTTCATGTTCAAAATCTCAAGCAATCAGGTCTCCTGGAGAAGTTGTCTAATCCTTGCCATTTGTGAATCTACCAAAGGTGTTTTTGCTTGAAATGTTCTTCCAATTCCAGTTAGTTTTTTCATTGATAAAAACAACATAAGATAATGAAACTAACACTAAAAGCACAAAAGTTTCAGTTTGTTATTTTCCGCGTTGAGTTGAACACTAAAGTTGCTGAAGTAGTACAAGAAAGGGTGCTGACAAGCCTGCTGAGCAAGCCTCGGTTGTTTGCTGCTTGTCCCAAGGCAGTTCCTTGAGCAGCGTGGGATACCTCTCCGGATCTAGTTGGATAGCAATGCTGCCATCCAAAATGGAATTTGCCAAATTCATTATGAAGGTCACGCTTGAGAGACCTGTCGATGATGAGCTGGTTGACGACATCCACAGTGACATCCAAGTTGTTGAGTTCTGGAAAAGGATGGGCTTCGAAGACATTGCTGAGGCTGGCACTGAGATTGACAAACAATGTATCCTTCGTGTCAAGTATCCTTTAAGACCAGACTTTATCAGCAACATTGAGACATATTGAGACTATGTTCGTCAGTTTAATCCGATTTAAAACGCCTGGATTTAAACTTCTTAACTTGGTTCCAACGAAGTCTGTTCCTAGCAAGTCTTGCGAAATCGTTGCTTCACCTTGCTTTACCCTGTTGCACCGTGCTCTCTTTGGGGCGTTCCCGTGTCAAATCCAGTGCTGAAGGTAGTTTTTGTCGCATGGTCGTCACAAACCGAAGACAGCTGTGGCACATAGCATGCCCTGGCAAAAACTGTCGAATCATGCTGATCTAACTGATCCAATTTGGTATTCTGGTGGCTTGACGCTGAGCCAACAGATGCCAGCAGAAACACCGCCCCGTGCCCAGAACAATGTGGCGAACGTCTGCCAACCCTCCTTCCTATGGCGCTTCCCTCCTGATTGGCTTGTATAACATTTCAATGCATTTCACAGAAAGGGTACGTTGTGGCAGGAGGATATCACCATGTGCCACGATGTGCCACACATGACGCGTCATTTGTCAACATGTGAACATTCCTGCCAGACCCTGAGAGGCAATTCTGGCAGACACAAGGAATCTTCGTAGTTCTTGGGTAGGTCTTGTGTAGGTCTTGGCTAGGTCTTGGCTATGGGTAGGTCTTGGGCAGTTCTTGGCTAGGTCTTGGGTAGGTCTTGCCGGTCTTTCATAGTGGTCTTTGGTAGGTCTTGGTAGGTCTTTGGTAGGTCTTTGGTAGGTCTTTGGGCGGTCTTTGGTGGGCCTTTGGACGGTCTTTGGTGGGTCTTTGGACGGTCTTTGGACGGTGTGGGTCTTTGGACGGTGGGTCTTTGGACGGTGTGGGTCTTTGGGTAGGTCTTGGGTAGGTCTTGGGTAGGTTTTGGGTGGGTCTTGGGTAGGACTGGGCTAGGTCTTGGGTAGGTCTTGGGTAGTTCGTGGCTAGGTCTTGTGTAGGAGGTCTTGCCGGTCTTTCACAGCGGTCTTTGGTAGGTCTTGGTAGGTCTTTGGTAGGTCTTTGGTAAGTCTTTGGGCTGTCTTTGGTGGGTCTTTGGACGGTGTGGGTCTTTGGTGGGTCTTTGGACGGTGGGTCTTTGGACGGTGTGGGTCTTTGGGTAGGTCTTGGGTAGGTCTTGGGCAGGTTTTGGGTGGGTCTTGGGTAGGTCTGGGCTAGGTCTTGGGTAGGTCTTGGGTGTAGTTCTTGGATAGGCCTTTGAACGGTCTTTAGTGGGACTTTCGGCAGTCTTTGGTGGGTCTTTGGTGGGTGTGGGTCTTTGGTGGGTGTTTGGGGGGTCTTGGGTAGGTCTTGCCGCGCAACCAGGGTCAAATGATGACCGTGGTCACAATCTTTCCGAAGCTGCAGACCCTTTGAACAGCCGTCTCGACCGTGCAGTTCGTGACCGTGCGTGGAACTCAGCACTGTCTCACGATCCAGTTTAGACCTTTCCAGCTCAAATTCCAATACTTGTGGATGATGGCAATGATGACGACGTGCCACCCATCGTCAAAGAGGAGCCCAACGTGAAGAGACAAAGTATGATGCAGAAGCCTGGTGTGAAAGGTGTGAAGAAGGAGCCAAGTATGAGAAGAAGGAACCGGCTGCGAAGCCATTGAGCCCTTCACAGCGCAATTTACGCATGCTGCAAAAGAAGCCGGAAAAAAATCTTGGCTGTCGCATGCGTTGAGTTTTCTGCGGTGTGACCGTGGACGTTTCACCCCATAGATTTCTTCCACCAAGAGCCGACCTGAGGCATGTTCAAAAAAACAAAAGCGTTGCTTACATTGCGTGACGTGTGATCTAAGAACATCTAGTCATAGTTATCTTGATAGATTAGTAAGATATGGATACATATACATATAAAAATATATATTTATATTTAAGAGATATTTGGCATTAGAATTTCTTGCCGTTTGCAAAACCTTATTTTTAACGAAGATGTCTTTTTTTTAAATGTTCTTTGTTTTGTTTTTTCGTTTGTGTTTCTGTAGGTGGTGCAGCTCCGCAGCGGTGGGGAGCCAGTGCTGGGTGTCAGCTGCACGGGGCTGGAGGCGCTCTGCGGGCGGCGCCACGCGGAGCTCCTGCGGCAGCTGCCGCTGGACGACAAGGCGACCACAACAAAACATTAAGATACCAAAGACTAACACTCATACTATTCATACTAACATTCATAAAAACATTCACATTAACATTTGTATTAAAGATTCGCTAGGGGGCTGACGTTTGCCCGAAATGCACGGAATTCCATGCGGGACTGCAATTAGCTGTGCTGTTTCCGTGCGTGTTTTTCGCACACTGCGAGCATGCAAAATATTGATTTTATCTGCGTCTCATGGCATTTTTGCCCTTACCTAAGACGGTGCCAAAATTACCTTTTGTAGCGTATCTCTCGAGCCGTTAACTGAAACCTCAACAAACCGCAAGATTTTGCAAGAACACAAACTTACCCAACCCTAAATAAACCCAAACAAAACTTAAACCTTAAACCAACCCTAAATCAACCATAAATAGCCCCTAAGACAACCCTAAAACAACCTTAAATAGCACGAAAATTAGCTAAACAAACCCTAAATAAACACAAAAGAAATTTAAACCGATCCTAAGCAAACCCTTAACATTGAAATAAATCCTGATCAAATCACAGCGTAACTAAAACCCCAATGAAGCTTGGGGTGAACGTCTGCCCCGGAGGGTAAAAATTAGATCATATACTTAGTATATTTTGTAACATATTAACAAAATATGATTAGCGTAATTCCCCAATAGCGATAGCTTGGGGTTGTTACCTGTAAAGGCGGATGGGCGCCGGGTTCCTGGCTGCCGGCCTGGGCGGTGTCTTGGGGGTGTCTCGGTAGTGGTCTCGGTGGTGTCTCGGTGATGTGTATTGGTGGTGTCTCGGTTGTCTCTTGGTGGTTCGCTGGTGCCTCTAGGTTGTGTCTCAGTGGTGTCACGGTGTCTCGGTGGTGTCTTGGTGGTGTCTGAGTTATCTCTTGGTGGTGTGTTGTCTCTTGGTGGTGTCTAGATGATGTCTCGGTGGTATCTCTCTGGTCTCGGTGGTGTCTTGCTGGTGTCTTAGTGGTGTCTTGGTGGTGTCGCGGTTGTCTCTTGGTGGTGTGTCGCTGGTGTCTCTTGGCGGTGTCTCGCTGATGTCTCGGTGGTGTCGCTGGTCTCGGTGGTTGTCTTGGTGGTGTCTGACTTGTCTCTTGCGGTGTGTCGCTGATGTCTTGGCGATGTCTCGGTGGTGTCTCTGTAGTGTCTCGGAGGTGTCTCTGTGATGTCTTGGTAGTCTCTCGGTGGCGTCTGAAAGGTGTCTGCCTTGTGCTCTTTTGATGGTGTCTCGTTGCCTTCATGGTGTCGAGGCGGTCCCTCGGTGGTGTCTTGGTGGTGTCTCAGCGGCTTCCATGCTGACATAAGGTGTTCACGGTGTCTTGGTCGTATCTTGGTGGCGTCGTGTTGGTGGTGTCGGGGCGGTTGTGTTGGTGCTCCTTGGTTGTCTCTGTGGTGTTTCCCTGCGCGTCACTCAAATCTTGAGCGTGTCTTCTCGATTGGTCGCGCCGTGCAGCAGGTAGTCTTCAACGGTTGCATGCTGCCATCGTTCTGACAAGAATGATTGCTGAAGATGACGGTGATCATGAGGAAGAGGATGATGGCGATGATGGTGGAGTTTGTGGCGTTGATGATGATGATGATGATGATGATGACGATGACGATGACGATGACGATGATGACAACGACGGCGACGACGACGACGACGACGACGATGATGATGATGATATCGATGACGATGACGATGACGATGACGATGATGATGACGACGATGGTAGCGATGACAACGGCCCCGTTTGCAGGTTTGGGTTGAAGCGGGGGAAGGGATGGATGTTGACCTATGTTAGGAAGTAACATATTTAATAACTACATATGATGCTTCTACCGAAGCAACTGCAAACATTCCCTCATGCCACGCAGAAAGGAGGGAAGTGGGCTGCTCACCTCACCAGAGGAGCTGACATACCTGCTGCATGCTACACTGTAGCTGCTACACTTGCACCGAAACCCTCGCGCGAATTTATCAAAGGAAAAAGGTACTAGAATATAAAACCAACAGAGGAAAGAAGGAGATAATCTCCACAGGAGGAAGGGAAAGAAGGAGGGAGGGAGGGAGGGAAGGAAGGCCTAGCTCCAAAATGCTGCGTACACGTTGGTTTCAAAAGGTGGCAAGGACCGTGCAGTTTACAGATTTTAGCCGCAAAATGTTGCAAACACCATGCCACTATGTGCAATGTGCAGATGATAATTTCAAGGTGTTGCGAATACCGTCCACTTGAAGATTTGAGCTTCAGAAAGTCGCAAAATAGCATCCAATCTACAGGCGTCAACTCAAAGACTATGCGATGCATGAAAATTTGCCCCAGTATGCTGCACGTACTGTGCGGGTAATAGTTTTTGGTTTCTATATGCTGCAAGCATTCTGCAGTGTACAGATTTTTTGCTTCAGAGCGCTGTGAAATCACAACGCACTTGTCAGATATGATTCCAAATCTTGCAAGTATCATGCAATTTGCCGATGTTAGCTTCGCACTGCTGCGAAATATTGTCCGATGGCAAAGCTCCGTGCAATGAACTGATGTTGAATCATACCAGGCAGTGTACAGATGCTAGCTGCAAAATGCTGCAAATACCGAGCAATTTTGCATCAAATACTACGCAGCCTAGAGTTTAACAGCAAACGGCCAAAATATTGTAATTACACAGGTACTTTCACACAGAGGTGCTTTCACAAAGACATGTTTTCACACAGAGGTTTACACATACATACGCATGTCCCCACAAAAGGTTTTACACGCTAACACCTTCACGCACAAGTGTTTTTACACAGGGATGCTTTCACACCAAAAAAAAATACTCACAGACGCGCGGGTACTTCTACACACAGATGCCTTCACACAGCGATGCTGCTACAGAGGAATGCTTTCACACGCTTTTACACAGGGCTTCTTGTGACACAAAATAGCCTTTACGCAGAAGCTTTTACAGTAAATACTCTTCCGCAGAGATGCTTTTGCACAGAAATACATTTGTACAAAAAATGTTTTTTTACACACAGATACTTTTACAAAGAGGTATTTTTGCACGAATACTTTGGCGGAGAGATGCTTTTACACGCAGGTGCTTTGAGACTAGGACGCATCTAGGCAAGAGGCTGGAAGCACGATTTGGGGAGGGTTCAAGCTATTTTGGAATCAGGTTTCCACCCATTATGTTTTTACAGAGGGATGCTTTACATACAAGTGCTTCTACTTCACACAGAGATGGTTTTACGCAGAGAGATGATTTTACAAGGGGATGCTTCTACTTACAGGGGCTCTTATACAGAGATACTTTCAACACAGAGATGCTTTTGCACGCGGGCGCTTTGAGACGCACATACTTTTTACACAGAGATGATTTTTCTAAGAGAAACTTTTAGACGCGGGCGGGTTTATACACACAGCTGCCTTTTCACAGAGATGTTTTTATAGAGGTGTTTTTACAGGCTAATACGTTTACACAGTGCTTTTACGCACACATTCTTTTACGCAGAGGTTCCTTTACACGCAAGCACTTTTACACAGAGACACTTTGACGCAGGCGCGTTTACATGCAAATACTTGTACACGACGATGTCTATTTTGCGCGCGTTTTCTTTTACATGCACGCCTGCTGTGTGTCACAGGGATGCTTTTAATCACACATGCTTTTACACAGAGATATTTTTTTTACAGAGACACCTTTACACAGAGATGCATTTGCACAGGGTTGCTTTCACACACAGAAATGACTTTTTACATACAAATACTTTTACAGAGAGATGGTTTTACATTGAGCAAATTTACACACAGATGCCAAAACAAGCAGGGGCGCTTTTACAAAGGAATGCGTTCGCACGAGGAGCTTTTACCTATCAATTTTGCACAGACATACTACTTCCTGATTTTTGACGGCGGACATGCATATGGCGTAAAAGAGTTCAGCAAGCATATGCAAAATCAGAGTTTTACCAGACGCATTTCGTGTGAAAGGGTTGGCCCAGCACAAACCCACATTGCAATTTGGCCTCAATGTATGACGATCGACATGTCGTGCAAGAGCGTTGCGTTTCGTGGACATCAATCCATGCCGCCCTGGCGTAGAAAAATCAAGATTGTAGTTGTCTTTACTAAATTGATCTCCGCCTGCATCTTTACATCTGCCACTTTACACCTGCGTGTATGCACTTCTCGGCGTCTTCTTGAAAAAATCGATCTCCACCTGCATCTGTATATCTTCCGCAATGCGCCTGCATATATTCGTTTGGTAGCTGTGTTAAAGAAGATTCTTGAACCTGCATCTATGCATCTGCATCTAAACACCTGTCAGTAAGATTGTTACCTGCATCTACGCTTGTGTATATAAAAATTGTAGATGTATTGAAGAACACCATCTTGTAGATGTACTAAAGTTGAGGGTGTTGAAGAAGAAGAGATGATGATGATGATGATGATGATGATGATGATGATCATGGTGGTGTGCTGATGATAGTGGATGTTTGTACGGACGGTGTCGTGATGATGGTGATGGGAAAAGATGATTATGACAAAACTTGTTGGCAGCAACGTTTTGGGAAAAACACCACTTTACAGATGGTGTTGTCCTGATGGTGTCTGTCCTCCTGCTGGTGTCTTGGTGGCCTCTCACTTTGGGCGGTGTGTCCGAAAGTCTTGACGGTGTTCGGTGATGTTTTGAGTCTTGCTCATGTTTTCGTGGTGTTTCTGTGGTGTTTTGGCGGTGTTTTGGTGGTAATTATCGAAGAAATTGTACTTTTTGAGCCAAAATGGCTCACCTGTCAATACCACATTGGCGTCAACGGATATAAAAAACCTTTGCTATTGGGGTTGTATGCTGGGTTAGTTTGTTTAAACACATGTTTTTACGATAATGGTAGTTATGACTTCTATTCCCCACATCTTTGTGTGGGGTTCTTGTCTTGGGTTCTGTATCCCGCCTCCTCCTCCTCCTCCTTCCGCGCGCGATTTGTCACACACACAACTTTGTCACACACACAATCTTTCACACAACAGCTTTCAGACACACACACAACTTTGTCACATACAACTTTGTCACACACGACTTTGTCACACATATTCTTTCACACACACACAATCTTTCACACGCAACCTTGTCACACACACTTTGTCACACACAATCTTTCACACAACAACTTTGTCACACACACGCACACAGCTTCGTCACACACAGTCTATCACACAACAACTTTGTCACACACACACGCACACAGCTTCGTCACACACAGTCTATCACACAACAACTTTTGCACACAGCTTTGTCACACACACAACTTTGTCACGCACAAGTTTGTCACACACACACAACTTTGTCACGCACAACCTGTCACACACACGCAATCTTTCACACAACAGCTTTCACACACAATCTTTGTGACACGCAATCTTTCTTCAACTCACACAATCTTTCACATACAACTTTTTTACATACAACTTTGTCACATACAACTTTGTCACACACACGCAACGTTGTCACACAAATCTTTCACACAGACAAATCTGTTACTTGATGACATCCGCGCTCCAGTTGCGTGGCAGGTGTGGGACTTGGGGACATCCAGGCTCCAGTTGCGTGGCAGGCATGGCACAGTGTGGGACTTGGTGACATCCACACTCTCTTTTGCGTGGCAGGCGTGGCACTATGGCACGGGCTGGATCTGGTGGCGCGCTTGGGTCCCGCAGTTGCGTGGCAGGCGTGCTACTTGGTGACGGCAGGCGTGGTATTTGGTGACATCCATGCGCCAGTTGCGTGGCAGGTGGCCCTTATCCACGCTCCAGTTGCGTGGCAGGCGTGGCACTTACTGACATCCACAATGCTACTTGTCAGCAACTGACTGCCTGTTAGATCTGTGCCCATCATGTTTAGCATGTTTTCCACAAACTTTGTGCAAGCCATTCTGGCATGTTTGACAGAAACTTTGTGCAAGCCATGTTTAGCTATGTCTTACTTTTGGGCATGTGCATCAAGAAACTTTGCGGAAGCGATTCTGGCATGTTCTACAGAAACTGCGTGCAAGGTAGGGCAAGTATCCTGCACTTGCCGCAGTTGTCACCACATGAGCGCTGGGGTCCGGACTCTGCGAAAGTGTTGCGCACATATTTTCTGGCCATGCTGGTCAGCCGGTCAGAACATACGATTTTGCAGGTGAAGCCGGTGAAGCGTGCAAAACAGCAGCCAAAAAAAGGCTACAGGATGGTATTTCATCGATTTGGAGACTTGCAAAGTTGATGCTATTGGAGCAGGCTGCTCATAGAGCGTCAAAGCGGCAAGTGCAGGAGTTGCAAGAGCACTCGGTGTATACTTGGCGCCAATCCAGGCAAGGTCTGTACTCTCCCACACACACACACACAACTTTGCCACGCGCCCGTGCCACACACAACTTTGTCATCTTTCACTCACAACTCTCTCCCGCTCTTTCACACCAACCCCTTCTCACACACAACTTTGTCACACACGCACACACACACACACACGCACAGAACTCTTTTACACACAACTCTGTCACACACGACTCTTTCGCATACAACTCTTTAAAACAACCAGTCCTCCACCATTTCCTTTGTCTTTCCTCCCTTGTCCGTACCGCTTCAACCACGGTTTTTGATTATTGGGAGAAGTTGACTTGTGGGGTCATCGGGTCCTTTATTAAAGTACATTTTCCGTGATCAGAAAGGGATTTGGTCATGCTGGACATCAAAACGAATATGTACATGTGTTCTATGTTTTCTAGAGCAAATGCAAACCCTTCAATTGATTAGCAATCTCAGTTCTGTTCTGTCCAAGCCTTGCGTTGGGTCTTCAGGATGGAAACGCTCTCCTCTTTAGCAGGTCAACATGCTTTTTTATGCCTTCGACTCGATTTGAATTGTTATTTGGCTTCTCTTGTTCGTTTATTTGATGTGTCCGTCACGGCCACGTGTGGGAATCTGCCCAACGATTGTGTTTTTGCCGCTTGGATTCGGTTCTGCCACGAATGGAAATTGCACGCTGAAACAGCAAAATCAACAGCGAGCTTTTGGTTGTTCTGTAACAATCTTTGACTGTTCCGCTTGTTCTTGCAATTTTCCTGTTTGTCACCTGTAGCGGACAACCGCCAAGCCACCGGAAAGTACCATTTCTACACAGCGCTGCCCAACAACAGCTCATCCTGAAACACGGGGACACGCTCTGGCCTTGACTGGTGGAGGACATGCTTGCTTCACCGTTTTGAACAAAACCATTTTCTATATATTTACATATTTACATATATACATATATATACATATATACATATACACACATATATATATACATATATACATATATACACATATATACATATATACACATATATACATATATACACACATATACATATATACACATATATACACATATACAAATATGCATAAATACATATATACATATTTACATATATACACATATATACACATATATACATATATACACATATATATATATACATAAATACAATACAAATATACACATATATACATATATACATATATACACATATACATATATACATATATATACATATATATACATATATACATATATACATATATACATATATACATATATACATATATACATATATACATATAGACATATATACATATATACATATATACATATATACATATATACATATATACATATATACATATATACATATATACATATATACATATATACATATACACACACATATATATATACATACACATATATATATACATACACATATATATATACATATATATATGTATATATATATATGTGTATTTACGTATATATATATATATGTATATTTACATATATATATACAGTATGTACACACACACATTTATCAAGGCGCACATATAATATGAACTGTTTTTTCGTTGCCACATGAGTTCCAGGTCCGTGACATTTTGGACCATATTTCTTTACATGTTTCAAAATCCAACATTTCATGAGGTATCAGCTAAAACTATTTCAATTCACGTGCAAACACACTTTTACTAGGTTTTGTTTTTCTAAGTGTGTTGCAGTGTTTCTCATGTCAAAAACCTTTAGATTTTTGTTCCTTGGTTCAAAAGCCAGGATTCACCCTCCTACAGGTTATTTGACTCTTCGCTTTCAAAAATTGCAATGTTGTGCAATCTTAGCGGCTTAGCGTGTTGATATTTTTTTGGAGTCTTGGGAATGATTTTTAGATAGGTCAGGGGACGTCACTGGCCTCTTTTGCTGTTATCTGTGTTATCTGTGTTATCTGCATTTATCTCCATTGCCGTCCAAATCATTTACGGGCGTTCTCAGCACGGTTACTGTTGCACAGGCGCAGCGGGCATCCCTCAGTGGCGAGGTGCGAATAGCTCGAGAGAAACTTGGAGGCGCAAGGGACGGACGATGTACATTTGACGCATATTGGGTGTACATGTTTCTTTGAACAGGATATTTTTTGAACATGATGCTGCCACATTTTGAGGCGATTTGAAGATCAAGGTTTTGAAAAACGATTTTTTTCGGTTTTAACATGTTTCAAGGCATTGCTGCGCTTGTGCTGCACTTGTGCTCCATGCCGAGGTGCTTTGCGCGCTTGTCTCAAAGAGTTAGAGCAGGACCGAGCGACGGCTGCCAGATAGCCAGACGGCCAGACATGTGAGCTCTGAGACGATGAATATCGATGAATATCGATCAATGTCGAAGTACAGATGGTTTGATTCGACTTCGAACCAACCCAGGTTCCACATACTTTGCACGTGTTGAACTGCTTGCTGGACTTGGCAAGTGTCATTCTGAAAGACATCACTGTCACCTACATTGTAAGTTTGAGAACAACTGCATCAGTCTTGCTGGGCCACCGCAGCACCACCCCATTCACGGTACAATATTTGATGGTCTGTCTTGAGACAATTCTCCACAAAGATCCAAAAGAAGGGCACTACTCCCAGCAATTCTCAAGGCTTGGCCGAATTTTGCTGAGCTTTATCCTCTCGCAAACACCAGACACGTTGGTTTTGTGGTGACCATGGTGATCACTCGTTTCATCTCGTTTCATCTCGCTTCAGTCTCATTTGGCTCATTTGGCTCATCTCAATTTGTTTTATCTCGGTTCTCTCATTGTTCGGTCTGTTCTGTGCTTTGCAAGTTCTGTTCTTAGTCAATTTGTGAGTCTCTGTGCGTCTCCGTACGTTGATTCGTACGTTGATTTGGTTCGAAGGATCTTGGACAACGGATTCCTCCCGGTCATGCGCAAATCTTGACACGTGACCTGGCCATGGGCTCAGTTGTCACACAGGGCACTTCAGAAGCCCAAGGCAAGGCACAAACGGATACAAACGGTGCGACAGACGCTGCAAAACCAGCAAAACCGAAGGGCAAACTTCAAAGGCACAACTCACACAAGTTGTGATTGAAAATATTGAAAGCGACACAAAAGGCACAGGGTTCATGGCACATCATGGCACATCATGGCACATCATGGCACATCATGGCAATCCCTACCCTCTTAAAAATGGAATTTGAGGGGGGGAGTCGTACTGAAATTTCATTTTAAAATTCCATTTTTGCAATCATGTTTTCTCAATGATCAATATTCCTCATCATTCCATGTCATTGGCAAGCAGGTGAAAATTAAATACTTGCGCTTAGCTCCGGAGGAGCTAAGCACATGTCAGACTGAAGCAGCACATGTGTTCCAAAAATTTGCGCTGCCGTGATCATACTTGCGCTTAGCTCCTCCGGAGCTAAGGGCAAGTATTTTCTAACGGGCCCCTCTTTTTTTTAACCTTGCGTCTTTTCTAACCAGTGCCCAAGGCTTGTTAATAAATGTTACTTTACAATTCCATTCGAGGGGTTGGATCACTATCCCAGGGGTTCCAAGCAAAAAAGAGTGGAATTCGACAGGTTGGTTTTGTACCCCCCCGCCTTCCCCCTCTATAGGGGTAGGGATTCATGGCACATCTTGACAACAAATCGGAGGGGTGCACGATCTATCAAGGATACATTTGATATATTTGACAAATACGGGCACAGGCATTGCTGGCATTGCTCCTTTTACATGTCCTTTGCTTTAAGAGGCCTGCGGTGTGCAGTTGTTTTTGATTGTGCCCTCATCTTTCCAAAATGCGTTCCTATGGTAGTGCCCGAACCTGCTGTCATGCCGCTTGCGATTTGCGAAATCTCTAGCCCTGGTCAGCACCGTGAAATTCGGTGGGCCCTTTCTTCTTCTGCTTCTGCTTTTTGTGCTTCTTCGTGTCTCTTCGTGTCGGTTCTCGGACCTTCGCGAAGAAGCCTTGAAGAAGCTATAGCAGATTATAGCAGCTATCTACATGTCGATGGCCGTCGTTCAACTTTCGTTCTTGTCCGAGGCGTTGGAGTTGGACATGGGGGAGAAACAACAGGAGCTGCAGGCCGCATCAATTGACATTGCGCTATTGCCAGTAATTGCGAGACACGAAGGGATAACAAATGATGACAATGTGAATTGACAAATATTAACAATATGAATCATTATGAATAAAAGAACAGTATGAACTCCCAGTGATGCCATAGCGTGGTGGATCGATGTATGCAGACTGAAACTGCAAGCCACAAAGACTCACTGAAAGGAGCTACTGTTATGTACGGATGGAAAAGACAAACAGTAACATGGTGTAACATGATGTAACATGTCTGTCGATTTGCAGAGTATGTGATCGGCCACAGCTGTCGCAGCTGTTCAGCGACATGAAGTGAGTTTGAGCCAGGTTTGCTCCATGGGATTTCCTTCAAAAGAGGGGGCAATCGTCACGATGGTTCGACTTCAAGTGACGTTGAATGTGACTGGGCGCTGTTGTGTGAATTCCAAGCTCAGATGGGACGCAGATCTACATGTTTTGGTGTTGCCATCTCTAAAGGAGGTAGTGGCAAAAGTTGCTGAGATGTCGAAGGACATCTTGGATGATACAAAGCAAAATGAATTTGTAGACGAACTTTACAGGTTTGTTTCTGCAGGGACTGAACTTTTTCAAAAGAGATTCAGCCCAGCTCGTTATCCTGAAGTTCAGCAGTGGCTTCAGAAAGGGTACCAGGTCACAGAAGTTGTTGGTACTCCAGTGAACAGCGAAAGTTGTGCCATCTCATGACGAAAACAAGTCCAGTTGGCCCAGTTGGCCCAGTTGGTCCAGAACACCTGACATAATCAGCGCTCTAAGATACGCTATGATGAATAGCCGAATAGCCCAAAATAGCCCAAATAATCCAAAATTACGGAGCCGCTTCTTTTGGAGTGTGATGTAACGTGGCTGCTTCGTTTCGCATGATTTGGCTCTCCTCAAAGAGGTACCCAAGTTGGTCAACAGCCAAGACATGTTTTTTGGCAGAGAAACTAGGCACAAATCAGCAGAATATTTTTCTGAAGAACGCACGTGTGGATATGCTTGGATGTCCAATTATGATGTCTTATGATGCCTCTTGTCCAGGAACACTTTCACCAGATCGTTTTGATTTGCTAACGAAAACAGATGAAAATACGTCATTATACGTCAAGGCCAGGATGTTAAGCTGCCATGCTCCTGCCATGCTAATCGGAGGGTCCGGAGGTCTTGCAGGAGTCTGCGATGCTCGTCCAAGTTGTGGAAATGTTTGTGTCAAAATGTGTCAAACAAGACATGAGCAACTCATTTTTGACATGAGAAACTCGCTAGCAACCCATGAGCAACGAAACTCATTTTTTTGTCCGGTTTGTTCTTGACTGAAAAGGAGATACGGCCCCCGACAACCGGTTGCGATACTTAATTTGGCACTTTCTTGGTCATTTTTTTGGGACGAAACTCCTCTGCCACCACCAGTAAGCAGAACCGACCCTGAAATGATACACTCAGCGAGTTCAAAACGTTCAAAATGTTTGGAAAGTCAAATTGATCAATTTGAATCGCGCTCTCATGTCGCTACCTTTGTTCAACGGATGCAGACTTGAATTGAGTTCAAAATTGCATTTGTCCCTTGCCGAGCAGGACTTCTGGCTGAGAAACACGTGGGGTGCACTTTGCCGGTGCATTTCGTTGAAAGAGATGAGCAGTGCCACTTGAGATACCTTGAGGAAACTGTGTCTCAGATGTTTTTTGGATTCTTATCGCAACTTGTTGTCAGCTGGGGCAGACGGCAAAACCTATGAGACAACAAGTTGTTGTCACTAGTTTAGTAGTAATAATATGCAATAAGAATTACACTGAATCATCATGAGTGGTAAAAAAATGTTGTGCGATAAGTTGAGGACGGGTTGAACGCATGGTCTCTCTTTGAATGAGAGTTGTCCACTGATTCGCCCGATTCGCTCGATTTGCCTTGGCTCGAGAGCAAACGACATGATATCGAACCGATACCGCTTGAACCGATTGGGGGTGCTTCGTCTGCTGGGTACATGCTGTACTTTTTTCTGTACTTTTTTCTGTATACCTTGCAGGTTGCAGGCCTCCATTTCGATGATCGGGTGCCATCACGATCCAATCGTTCATCCATAAAGTCTTACTTGGATTGCTGGGATCTATCCAGGAAGAATGAGGCCAAAGTGTTTCACTTACATACCCCGAAGGTTGCAGGTTGTTCTGTTGTGAAGGATCTCAGCGATATGGTGGGTCGTGAGCAGGTCTTCACAGACGAGGTGTGCTTTTCATATTCGTCGCAGGGGAACTATGAAAGTAGCGTTGTAATGGTCAGGGAGCCTCGTAACCATGTCTATTCAATGTACCAATTTTGTCACCTTGCCAGCGATCCAGGCTACAGACTTTTGGTTGGGAAAAAACAAGGCTTGAAAGGCCAAGAGAAGTACAATTTGGCCGAGTCCTTTGATGCTTGGATCAATGAATGGCACGAAAACCCTCGTTGGGGTGATTATGATATCTACGACGATGATGAATTTTGCTATTGTCCTTACAACATGCAAAGCTCTCGACTGGCCTGCAATAGCAAAAAGACGGCAAAATATTGCCATAAGAATGCAGACTTCGCGATTGCCATGCAGAACCTGAAGAGCGCGACCATCCTTGGAGTGGTTGAAGCTTATCACGAATCGGTTTGTTTATTTTCTGCTCGCTTGACGGGTTCATTACCTGAGCATTGTGACTGCGAGAGCGCTGCATGGAATGCTTACCTGGAGACGCACGTTTCTCACCGTGAGGATGCAGCTGCTGAGGCGTACGGCTCAATAAAGGACGTGCCCACGGATGTCATTCACAAAGTTGACGACATGACGAAAGAGGATCGGATCCTGTACCAGGCAGCCGTGCGCCGGTTTACAGAAGACATCAAAGAAGTTGAGCTGCGCTTTGGAAAGAGGATTCTTTGCAACTCAGAATTGCAAAGACTGCAAAACAAAACAACTTACAAGACACCTGAATGACTCGGCCAGAAACAGAAAAACACCGTGTTTGCACAGAGGTTGGGCTTTTCAAGCAAACATGACAGTTTTCAATTTGATTTCACTCTAGTATCTCTAGATATCTCTAGTGTAAATTAGATAAATTAGCAACTCCATGTTGGTTCCATGATGTTCCTTGATTGAACATGTTTCGGACATGCATTGCTTGTGTACACTGAAATCTCCACGTCTGAGTCTGTGATGATCTGTGAATATCTGTGATATGTTTACGGCGGTGACATGCAATGCATGCAACGGACATTCTGTGCATTCGACATATGTCCGCAGTTTTTATGCTCTTTGGCCTTCGTAGTTTTCTCTTCACCGTTCTGCTCCGTTCTGCTCAGCTCTGCTCTTTTTCTTGTGATTTTTTGTTCGCCCAAAGGCCGCTGAGGCCGCTGTCATGATGAGAGAAGTCCAGTTTTTCGACGCTTTCGACGCTTTCGACGCTTTCGATTGGACTCTTCACAGCTGGAGGATTTAAGCCACATAGTCGCTCAGCGAATGTCAGTGCCTGAACTGTTCATACCTCCCAGTACACACAGTCCTTGAAGGGAACATTATTGGGCAGATCGCCCACACATTTTTCGAGTTTATAGCGACATACTGTTGACACACTGTACTTCAAGCATTTCAAGCCTACAAGCAGTCACAAACCCTTAGACAAAGCCACAATGGGTACTTGTTCAGAGCCAAGCATCCATTTGTGCCTGGCCAATAGCCTGGAACAAGAGCAGTCCCAAAGTGCGAGTTAAAACCGTTAATAACGGAAGAGTTCCGAGATTTTGGGTCTATGAGTCGATTGAGTCATTTCAGAGAAAACCCAGGCAAGCAAAACCTGAACGCGAAGATGCAACGAATGCAGCGAATGCAACTTTCATGTCTGAAAAAGAAGGGAATGAATATAAGTAATATAAGGCAAAAAAAATAAGGGACTGAAGTTTTAAAGCCCGAGTGCCGAGAATCCGAAAGGCCGCAGCCCAGGGAGGCTCCCTCGAATTCTTGGTACAAGACGCGTGGATTCGGCGCCAAGCTCCAGCAGCATTTGAAGACTGAGGCAAGGAGCCTGGGCGTGGCATAGCATGTGATTTTGTGGTCACCACCAGAACCTGTTTAACTTGGTTCAACTTGGTTCAACTTGGTTTAATGATTAACTACCCGAGAACAATCATTGTAAAGCATCGTTGTGGCACTTAAGATCTTAAAATGATCACCAAAGTACGAGTAAGAAGGGCACAATGGGTTAAGGGTTGGCTGTCGGGGAAAAAAGCTTTAGACCTCCCAAGGGTGTTTTTTGGATTCAGCCTTCTTGAACGACGGTAAGGACCAGACATTCATTTTCATTTCATTACGCTTTTCTTTCTTCCCATCACAGTAATTATTTTCCTTTTCCAGCATCCAAAACGAGAGAACAACTCATGAAAGACCGTGAATTGTCGACCCCCCCAGTCATTTTCAATTCAGCGCGACGCAAAATACATAATGCCGTGACTTTAGGGTGTGTGTAGCCATTTTCAAGTCAACGGGAATTTGGGACTTGCGATGAACAACACCAAAAAATGCCCTGAATTCTGGACGCTCTTGTCCATTTCAAATCAGTTTGAATTTCAAAATTGGAAAAAAACCCATAGAGTGTCCCCAACAGCCAGAAACAAACAAATTTAAGGAACACGCAACGAGTGAAATATGTTTATTGCCTAGCCCTTCTTACTCTAGAGGCCAGGCGTGCAAGGCGCAATCACAGCACAAACACTTTATGAAACCACTCTTGAAATGCGTTTGCAATACTGTGGCAGCTGAAGGGTCAATATTCAAAGCTCATGTGAAGGGTTTTCCCAAAGAAGTGTTGCCCGCCTGACTCTTTACTTCATCTACCTAACATACATCATCCACATCTCCTACTTCCTTTACATCACTTGCATCTTCTCTACATCATCATCATCATCATCATCACCATCATCATCATCATCATCATCATCATCATCACCATCAGCATCACCATCATCATCATCATCATCATCATCATCATCACCATCATCATCATCATCATCATCTACATCTATCTCACCCATATCATCCACACCAGATACACATTTTCCATCAACCTCATCTACATGACATACATCATCTACAACACATACCTACATCATCATCAATATCACGACATCCTCTACATCACCTACATCTTCTAAGTTATCTAACCTTGCATCACTTACAACATCACCCTCGTCATATACAGCATAGACAACATCATCTACATCGGCTACAGGTGATCAACTTCTAGGTCGCTCCTACAAAACTTGAACAATGTCATTTACACAGGAGTTGACTTGCAGGTGATCCACTTCCAAGTGAACTCCTACCAAACTCCTACGAGGCCATTTGTTACACAGGAGTTGCTACACAGGAGTACAGCCAACTTCCAGGTGATCAAATTGTATCTGAACTCTTGCAATTTCCTACTTCTCAAGTTCTTCTATTTCTGTCTGGCGGCAGGGACAGCCAGGCGGTGGCTTACGTATGGCCAAATGCGGGTTTTGTTTGTCCTTGGGCAACCCTCTGCGGAGATCGCGCGTGTCGGATGGGGTGAAATGCGAATCTTCTTTGCCCCCAGCAACCGTCTGCGGAGATCGTGTGGACGCCCAAACATGTGGTGGAAAGCGATTTTTTTCTGGGCACGGGCAACCCTCTACAGAGATCGCGCAGATCGGGCATCCAAACATGTGGCAAAAGGCAAATTAAATTTGTTGAGGCGCAGCGCTGCCCTTTCGCACGAAATGAGGGTCAAACGTCAAAAGCTGGTGTAAAATTTGCGATTTTAAAAGTTCAGATGCAAGCGCGACATGAAAGTCAAACGGCAATAACTTGAGGAAAGTTGCGATTTTTAAACGTCAGACGCAGACATTCAAGAACTGGTGTAATTGCGACTTTATCCACTTTGAAACGTCGGGCACGACCATTTTGCGCGAAATGATGGTCGTAGGTTTCAAAAACTTAGGTAAAATTGCGATTTTGAAGCGTGTAAAAGCTTCTCTGTGGAAATGGTTTCTCTGTGGAAAAGTGTCTGTGTGCAAAGGCTTCTCTGTGTAAAAGCTTCTGTGTGTAAAGGCGTCCGTGTGTAAAAGCTCCTGTGCGTAAAACCTTCTCTGTGTAAATGCTTCTGTGTGTAGAGGCATCTGTGTTTAAAAGCTTCTGTGCGTAGACGCATCTGTATGAAAAACTTGTGTGAAAATGCCTTTGTATGTAAAACCCCATGTGTAAAATCTTGGGCATCTGCACGTTAAAGTTTCTGTGCGTGTAATAGCTGCTCTGTGTAAAGGCCTGTCTCTGTGCAAGAGATTCGGTGTGAAAAAGCTGCTCTGTGTAAACCTTGCTCTATGAACAAGCTTCTATGCGTAAAGGCATCTGTGTGCAAAAGCTGTGTGTAATGGCGTCTGTGTGTAAAAGCTTGTGTGTAAATGTTACTGCGTAAAAAAATGCTCTGTGCAGAGGCTTCTCTGTGTAAAAGCTTCTCGGTGCAAAGCTTCTGTGCGAAGGCCTCTGTGCGTAAAAGCTTCTCTGTGTAAAGGCCTCTATGTGACGTGTCAAAGCGGTTGTGTATAAAAGCTTCTTTGTGTGAAGGCGTCTGTGTGCAAAAACTTCTGTGTTCTGTGTACAAGCATCTGTGTGTGTAAAGGTGTCTGTGTGTAAAGTTTCTGTGTGTAAACGCTTCTCTGTGTAAAGGCCTCTCTGTGTCAAAGCTTCGGTGTGTAAAAGCTGCTCTGCGTAAACGCTGCTCTGTGAAACAAAAACCTGTGAGTAAAAGCTGGTCTGCGCAAAGGCTTCTCTGTGTGAAAGCTTCTGTGTGTAAAATCGTTTGTGCGCAAAATTCCTTCGCGCAAAGGCTTGTCTGTGAAAAAGCTTCTGCGTGTAAAACCGCCCGTTTGTGCAAAAGCTTCTGTGTGTAAAAGCTTCTGTTTGTAAAAGCTTCTCTGAGGCTAAGCTTCTGTTTGTAAAGGCTTCTCCGTGCAAAGGCTTCTGTGTAAAAGTGTCTGTGTCTAAAAGCTTCTTTGTGTAAGGGCGTGTGTGTGTGTGTGACACATCTGTACAGATGTAAAACCTCTATTAATATATATAAGCGGGGGGGCAATCTCATGTTTGCAGCTGATTGCCCAACGAAGAGGGCTGCATTCATGACTGATATGACTCTGGGACGCTGGAGTCACGTACCTGCTATTTTGATGACGATCTTGGACATGGAAATCATTCAGGAGAACTTCTATTATTCGTAGGATGCATCGTTAATTTCGTTGTTTCATATCTAATCTGCATGTTTCAGGATTCAGTTCCTGCCGGATCATATAATGATCCATTCTTGTCTAGTGTGATTCCTATGGTGGCTCCGACATGGTGCCATAGGGCCAATTGAGGCAACCCTTTTTAGGGTGAATGTCGACTGACTTGACTTCCGAATTTACACATTTTAATCCAGTAATTCATTTAAGTAAAGCGAAACTGTCGGCCTTTCTGTTATCCACCGTTTTTGATGAATCTCGCTGCTCCTGTAGTCCCAGGGTCTTCTCGCCGAGATTCCTGTCTGCCAGAGTGAAACCGTTCTGAACTGCCAGAAACCTCCTTTTTTGCAGCAACTTTTGCAGCTACATTGCATCATGCCATGACAGAGGACCCAGGCAGGTTCATGACTTTCAGGTGTGGTCTCTTTTCTTTTGGTTGTTTGGTGAGGTGAAACATGTTGTGCACCTAATTCGATGGAACTTGAAAGCTGTTTTATGCCAATTGGGGCAAGACTTGACCACGGTCCCGGTGCAGGGAATAATCGCACGACATCTAGGTAATTAGGAACTGAATCCTGTTTTAATTTTTTGTGGTTTCATCAACTAATCCCCATTGGTCCCCTATCTCATGCGTTCTTCCCTCCCCAGGTAGGTTGGCTCCGTCGCGTGCTGAGGTGTTTGTAGGTTTTCGCTGTGTCAGGTTGGTTCAGGCGCTTTCGTCCTC